ATCGCTGTAATCTTGACTGAGATCCAAGTCCTAACCTGTCTAATATCGATTCGTCTGAGTTTGCTTAGTTTATAAATGCATTTTGGTGCAACCAAAACACAGGGTCACCGCGTAAACTCGTATTTATAGATTGTAATGGATAATGGGTTCAATGCATCTAGAACTGTCCAAGTTTTGATTGAGAGATTTAAAACTAACTATGATCGTCTTACTAAATTATTGCAGTAATTTCGCAAAACAGTCGTTAGCCACACAGTACTAATACTCGACTTGGTTTTATGGTTAACACAAAAGGTCAAGGTCAAACTATACACTAACTCTACACATTTAATAAAGACATGTTCATATGCCTTGATACACCACTATGGACGGATTTTTCATACGTTCACTACCTTTCGAAAGTTCAGAACTAGTTCCCCAGTACATATACGTGTATTTCACATTCTTCAATGGTACATGATTGAATATTTTAAATCGTCACAGTCCTCGCGCCGCGTCCTGCTTGATATGGGTCCCATGCGACGTATACAACTCGTGTAAAATACATTGTTGCACGACGACTGTGGCGCTATATGGCGACTGTAGCGCTGCGTACGACCGTAGCGCTGCGTTACGAATGTGTCGCTGCGCGACGACTGTAGCGTTGCGTGATGACTGTGGCGCTGCGTGACGGATGTGGCGCCGCGTGGCGTCTATGGCACTGAGTGACCAAAGTGTTATTCCATGTCTAAACAATACGAGCACGTCAATTCGTTTATTAATGGGCGACACTGTGCAATCATTGGAAGTTAATTAAAGTAATTTTGAGCTCGCATCGTTGGATCTCGATTTACATATTATATCCAGTTTCGTACCCGCTTGCCGGTAAATTTCTATCTTGGAATATATGCACACACTGAAAGAAAAAGTCAATACCAAAACTGATGTCATTTTTGTGCGCGTCACAAAATAAACTCATACTTCTAGAAACGTACCAGAACGTTGATTGGCACAGAAACAAAGCAAAAATGAAATACAGATCAGTTATCAAACAATTTGATTACAAATTTCAGAAATTAAAATTTCATCAATCTGCGAACAGAAGAGATGAAAAAAAAATCAAAGATGTTTTTCTGACCTGACGCATTACAACGATTTCATATATCACACACTTAGCTCATTCCCGGTGAGTGTTTCCAGCAAATATGCAAATAGTAATGCAACCACATCATGAGTGTTAAACAAAGATGGCATTTCCATGGCAACCCTCATTTAGGGATACTAAAATACCAACAACTAATGTTGGCAAATACTTGTAATTAATTGTATTTATTACAAAAACATAAAAGTTATTACCTCAGTCATGTCCATTCCATTAGTGTAAGACCAAGCATGCTCAAAATACTCCTTTAATCTCTGACGTAACGGACTGGGTATTTGATGAAATCGAATGAATTCTTTTACAAGCCCTACTTCTTCTTGATAACGAGCCATATTGCGATACAATCTCTCGATAATAGCAGTCACATTACCGAAGATAGTAGCGTACATCAATGCTGCGATGATTAAAGGGATATTAGTGACGATTCGATGAAAAATAAGTCCAGAGAAAAAACAAAACAATTTATTATGTTTTTGTTTAAAAATGATTAATGAACTGAAATAGCCATTAAGAACAAAGATTGGTAATCAATCACACCACACAAATCTACACAATTGTACATTTATGAATAAATTATGTTTGCAAGTGTAAACAGCTTAGTCACGTGTCCATAATACACATTGCAGTTTGTTAAGTGTTCCAGAAGATAAAATGATGCATATATAATGATTTAGTAGCCAGTGTTCAAGATATAATAAACATTAGGCACATATGACCGGCAAGATCTCGTTGGGCGCGAGAGAGCCACGAGATTTTGCACTTCAAACATTGTTCTATTCTCTGGAAACATGGTATCAGCGATGGCATTTGAAACAGTGGACGCAGCGACGAAAGTGAATGATGGGCATAAAAAACAAGTCGGGTGGCTCTTTCACACTCAACGATCTTTCGGCGGTCATATTTGCGTATTAATTATAAAGTTGCAATTGTGTTATACTATGCGAAATACTGTTTAAAGTCAAAAAACCGTGGTATTTGTATTGAAACGTAATATTGCAACGAAAGTATGTATTACAATAATACACACATTTTACAGAAATAAACATGTCATACAACGTAACCGACATTTAGTCTATTTAAACAAAAGTATGTATTACAATAATACACACATTTTACAGAAATAAACATTGCTTAAAACGTAACCGACATTTAGTCTATTTAAACGAAAGTATGTATTACAATAATACACACATTGTACAGAAATAAACATTGCATACAACGTAACCGACATTTAGTCTATTTATAAACAAAAGTATGTATTACAATAATACACACATTTTACAGAAATAAACACGTTATAGATCTTAACTGACATTTAGTCTATTTAAACGAAAGTATGTATTACAATAATACACATATTTTACAGAAATAAACATTGCATGCAACGTAACCGACATTTAGTCTATTTAAACAAAAGTATGTATTACAATAATACACACATTTTACAGAAATAAACATTGCTTACAACGTAACCGACATTTAGTCTATTTAAACGAAAGTATGTATTACAATAATACACATATTTTACAGAAATAAACATTGCTTACAACGTAACCGACATTTAGTCTATTTAAACGAAAGTATGTATTACAATAATACACATATTTTACAGAAATAAACATTGCATGCAACGTAACCGACATTTAGTCTATTTAAACAAAAGCATGTATTACAATAATACACATATTTTACAGAAATAAACATTGCATGCAACGTAACCGACATTTAGTCACATTTTACAGAAATAAACACGTTATAGAACGTAACCGACATTTAGTCTATTTAAACAAAAGTATGTATTACAATAATACACACATTTTACAGAAATAAACACGTTATAGAACGTAACCGACATTTAGTCTATTTAAACAAAAGTATGTATTACAATAATACACACATTTTACAGAAATAAACACGTTATAGAACGTAACCGACATTTAGTCTATTTTAACGAAAGTATGTATTACAATAATACACACATTTTACAGAAATAAACACGTTATAGAACGTAACCGACATTTAGTCTATTTAAACAAAAGTATGTATGACAATAATACACACATTTTACAGAAATAATCACGTTATAGAACGTAACCGACATTTAGTCTATTTTAACAAAAGTATGTATTACAATAATACACACATTGTACAGAAATAAACATTGCTTACAACGTAACCCGACATTTAGTCTATTTAAACGAAAGTATGTATTACAATAATACACACATTTTACAGAAATAAACATTGATACAACGTAACCGACCTTTAGCGTATGTTAACGAAAGTATGTATTACAATAACACACACATTTTACAGAAATAAACACGCCATACAACGTGTTATTTCAATGAAGATATGTACAATAATATACATTCTCACAACGTGACAGACGTGTGGTCAATGTATGTTTTACACGTATTTTCACGGAAATACATATTTCATACATCATTGAGGTATTACAAAAAAATGAACCGAGGATGCTGACTGCATTGCGCAATACCACCAAACCTGATAAGTTAATAACTCAGGAAAAAAATAAACTGTGCCAATCAGCAATATTATAGACAGGCGCCGGAAATAAATTAGTTCACAAAAACGATGTTCAAAAGCTTTTTACAATAACAGAATGACGCGACGGTACGTCTTTTCATTATTGGTGAGAGTAAAAACCACACGCATGACCAGTAATATGGCGCCGAATCCATATAAACTCTTGAAAATAAAACGCAATCATAATACTAGTATTATGTACGTTTCATTTCCATTAAATTGGTGAACCTCGGGCCGGCATTTATTGTTTTCGTATTGACCAATCTATTAAATGGTACGCATTCAATCACAATCAACGTCGGGCATGTTTTAACATTATTAGAAAGTATTAAATACGACTGCCAATGAAAGCAATATCAGAAGAACTCAATTAAAAGACACTTATGTTGCAACCCGACATTCGGTTAAAATTAGAGAGTTCATTTATTCCGGTCGCCGCATAATTTTCGTTGGCATTGAAACTCAATTAATCGGAAACAGAATTGAATACGTCTTCATTTCAGAATGTTTTGAATTCCAGTTTGTTTTATCGTCAAAGTAAATGTGATTAAACTACTATTTAATTAAAATGTGCGTGACATGTGCATATGACATAAGTGAGCTGAAAAGTAGTGGGGAATACTTACATCCAACTAGCATAGTTAAAATGGAAAACAACTTCTCAGCATCCGTGTTCGGTGAAATATTGCCGAATCCCACGGTACACAGCGTTGTCAGAACAAAATATAGCGACGACACATATTTATTAGTGATAGAAGGTCCACTACTGGTGTCGTTTTTATAATAGAATTCCGCTGTTTGTTCCGCCAATGTGCCTAACCATCCAATATCAGGGTCGGCTAATGAGGCTCTCTCGGCGCTCCCAATGGCATGCCATATGCACGCCAACCAATGCGATATTATTGTAAAAGTACACATTAATAGAACTAACACTGCCGGTGCATACTGTGAATAATTGCCTAGCTTCTTAATAACACGTAGAAGTCGAAGCAAACGTGCTGTTTTTAACAAGCCCATGGTGGTGGTCGCCTAAAGATAGAAAATTGAGAAACCTTAGATGAAATCTGAAGCCCTTCAAGAATATTGAATAATGTGTTGACCTCATCAAAAGTAACCATAAAAATTGAGTAAAAATTAATGCAAGAAAAATGGTTATTCAGAGCATGATTTCAGGATGTTGATGACATTTATGTCAAAAAATAAAGCATACGGTAGCAGTTGATTATACATAATTAGGAGAACGTGACCTCAATGAAGATATGTTGTGTATTAGCTGTGTTTCCAGTTGCATGCATTACCAAAAGTGACTTGAGTAATGTAAAACGTGCATGAAATGGGAGAACAGACAGGGGCAGATGGAAAGTCATTTTAGAAACATTATATTAGATACACTGAAGGACCACGGTTTTGTTGGAGACTCCCTGAGATCAAAATTGGCCGTTGGCGACCGTTTTGTCTGTGTATCGAGTATGTAACTGTCTGTCCTGAGTACATTCCAACGAAGAAGCGCAAACAGATCACATTTCCGCTAATTGCTATACCTAAAACTAGTTCATGCTGTTGTCTCTGGTCACTCACTTATTTTACATATTTTGTAGTGTTTTGAATAAATATCGCATTCTGAAATAATTATTGAGTGTGTGTACATCGGCAGATTATTGTTATATAAGTATTTGTTGATTTTACGACCATTAAGTGTCAAGACATTAAAGAAGACAACGTGAGCTGACATATTAATGAAATCTGACTAGCCGTCAATGAATCACGTATTGTTCACTCATATGTAAAAATCGAGTATCAGAGTTGCGTTTGTACTTGAACTGAGCAGCACCGATTTCTCAGAACTCGAACATATATCTAGCAGAAAATTAAAAACACGTTTGAGATAGAGTACCAGAAGTCGAAAGAAGTTGTAAAGATCAGCGATCACGTTTCAGTCACTCATGGGACGTTCTATACTAAACTAAAAACAATAACATTCCATACTAGACAAAAACAAGTACTTCAATAGCAAGTCCCAAGGGACGTTCTGTATTACACTAAACAACGTAATGCTAGATTGAACAACGTTATTCATTAGTAAACACTCGAGGAACGACCTATACCAGACTAAAGTACCGGTCTATACTAGGTAAACAACGTAATGCTAGATTGAACAACGTTATTCATTAGTAAACACTCGAGGAACGACCTATACCAGACTAAAGTACCGGTCTATACTAGGTAAACAACGTAATGCTAGATTGAACAACGTTATTCATTAGTAAACACTCGAGGAACGACCTATACCAGACTAAAGTACCGGTCTATACTAGGTAAACAACGTAATGCTAGATTGAACAACGTTATTCATTAGTAAACACTCGAGGAACGACCTATACCAGACTAAAGTACCGGTCTATACTAGGTAAACAACGTAATGCTAGATTGAACAACGTTATTCATTAGTAAACACTCGAGGAACGACCTATACCAGACTAAAGTACCGGTCTATACTAGGTAAACAACGTAACACTCTATTGTAGATTAAACAACGTAACTCAATAGTAAACACGCAAAGAACTGTCTACACTGAACTGAGCAACATAACTAAATGGTTAATCAAGGGGCGGTTTGTACCAGACTAATTAACCTAACTAAATGGTAAACAATCAAGGACCGGGCTATGTCATAATAAATAACGTAACATGTTATGCTAGATTAAACAAAGTACCTCAATAGTAAACACTCGAGGAACGGTCTATACTAAACTAAACTAAACTAAAATACTACACAACGTAACTCAATAGTAAACACTCAAGGAACGGTCTATACTAAACTAAACTAAACTAAAATAAAATAAACTACACAACGTAACTCAATAGTAAACACTCAAGGAACAGTCCAAGCTAAACTTGTCTACTAGACTATCCAAAATCACTCAAGAAGCAGTCTATATTAAACTAAACATCATAACATAACTAGACTACCCAAAATAACATTCTATACTAGACTAAACCACTTATAGGTGGCTAGCAGAATGAACTTTTTACCGAGATACAGTTTATAGCTGGCCGACATGTCACACTCTAGCTGTGGTGGGATCAACTCTCTAGCTCGCATGAGCTGTAACTATACAGTTATATCTGACTAAGTAATTATTCTGTTGACAGAGACTTTTTAAAGTGATTGACGTTATTAAAATAAAGGCCAACGGTTGCTGGCCCCCACATCACAGAATGATATATGAAAACACGCCACGAATGATAAATTACCTTTGCCTGTATACCTAGCAGGGTTAAAGGCACACCAATCTAAATAATTGCACTATGATGTGTGGATCGTTGTACTAATGGGTTATGAACTAATATTTTCATTTGAACCAAAATGTAGTTTTCTTACCTAGTAATCCATGCTACACATGAATGTCTGTTTTAGTGCAACAAAGATAATTTTGGCTCGGTAATAAATAGACTGGCAATTATGATTAACAAAAAAGTACAACAACCCTCAGCTCACAACTCTTTAATCTTTTCTACTACACTTATTTCATTTGGAATTCCATCGAGTGAACTTGAACTAATACTAAAGAGTATTGATGTCACGTGACCTCCGTCATGATTGGGATATATATTCCTTGTATATCCTCGGGGGCGGAGCTACGTCACAAGATGTTCCACGTTGCTACGACGCGCACCACTGTACATGCATTTCTATGGGCGCTGTGCGCGCTGCTGTGGAACGCCGGTCGAGTCGATGAAAATTCGAGAAAACAACACAAACTCAACTTTGAAGTAATCCCGAACAACCAAATTTATATATGTTACACACGTAGGGCTAATCTTGTTACACTGTTCAGAGGAGTCTCAACAATCATCCCAAAGTACCGTTTTCTGCGAGTTTTGGGCCTTTGTTTTCACCGCCGCTGGTTGCCAGGCGGTGAAAATGCCCGGATGTCCGCCCCCGAGGATATGAGTTTGTTAAAGGGTCATACGCTGCATGTTTGATACTTACCCCCTCAGTAGAGGATCCAAACAGCAATAAATCAAATGGAATAGCAGCCAATGCATCGATGGCGAACCAGCCTTTCAAGTAAGTAATGGCTATTTTCCGAGGATGCGAGATGACTTCATGGTGCTTATTAACATACGTCGTACGGAAATTGATAAAAATATCAATAATAAACATACAGTCAACCAGTAGATCGATAATAACCAACGGGTCACCATATCGGTTGGCGACACCCTCTCCGCCACGAGTCTCTGGGTTTTTGTTCATTATCGCCTGAACTTGGTCGTTTTGAGTTAGGAACGCGGCGGCGTATGGTGTGAATATAGCCGTGTATATAACCAACAATAATACTATCCAATCCCATACTGCTTTGAATGGGGAGTAATGAAGTATAGTGAATTTATGTATCCTAGGTCTGGGTGGTTTGTACTCAGGTACGCCTACTATATCAGCAATCACTGACGGCTAAAAAAGAAAACAAAGTTTACTGCAAGTTAGCTTGTGTCCTCTGCCCAGAATGTAGTCTCGCACACCCCGTGATCGCCAATACGAGACTATACACTGGGCGTGAGGTCGATAGATGATTTAACCTGGAAACCTACCTTAACTGTATGTAAAATCAAAACATAGCATTAAGATTATAGGCAGAACTTCACAGAGATGGTAGCAATTTTAACAGTAATATAACTTACAATGAACTACTCATAAACGCGAAGGTTTTTTGACGCCGATTATTAAATATACATGTATATTCGGCCTAAATTGTGCCAACAAACCTGGGTTAATACCTTGAATTATGTGGTGCAAAACGTTGCAACTGACAAAATAAATGGGCTTCAATGACGTTGTTCAAGTCTGACTAAATAATAGACTCAGTCCATGAGATTTAAAAATTCTAAATGTGCGACCAAACCAGGGAAGGAGCTCTTTAAATAATGATCGGTATCGAATATGGTTGATTCAATCGAATTCTGTTTACTCAATTATTATTAATTAACCATATTATGCCATATGATATAATATATAGACGAGCATGCAGCTGGAACTCGGCAGTAGATATTATGTCTGTCTATATACTTTATTATTCTATGATCTGATAGAGGACTGAGTGGGATTGCTAGGTGTTGTGGGCACTTTGATAAATACACACACTATATATATATATACTTATCAAGAGATTGTAACACGTCTAGTGTGATATCGTCTGATGTACGCATTCTACATATGCGGGTCATTAGCTGTGGGGTGCTACAAGCTTCTATATTTCTCACACTTTAACAACATTGCAAACAGCACGCTTTAAAAGGGAAAAGGAGCCTTGAAAACAGCAGAGTGCAGAGAATATGACAGGTTAATATGATATATAGCGTAAGCTAGATTCGTGTTAGATGAATGTTGACGCATGCGTAGTTAAATAAGATAGTTATGATAGTTAAAGCATGGTGATAATTGTTACATAATCATGACGCGGAGTGTCGTCATGGAAATGAAGCGCCTAATGAATATGCAAATATGCAAATGAATATGGAGTGTTATGAGCGATGAATATATATGAAATAAAACATTACTATTAATTTAATTTTCATCTAAGATAAAGGAATTTACATAATCAGGAAGGAAGAACAAATACGTTGTAAATCTCACCGTCTCCAAACTTTCCGTACTTTGGTACATGATTCCAAATTTAGACCTTGAATGTATAAAACAATCGGTAAATGATAAAAAAAATATGATACCGACATGTTGAATCGATTGATGACAATGACAATGACACCAGAATGATAAATGTTGAACTGTGATTGGTTGAGATGACATGGAAACTTTGTATCACTGATATTCTCAAAATAAAACATATAACTCGAAATGTACATGAAATGTTTGCGCATGCGTCGTATAAAAAACGTGAAATTAATGACGCTCACGTGCTCAACCTTGCAATTAATAATACTTGGTAAACCAAATCACTTCCTAGTAACGAGAATAAGTTTGGCGTGCGTTGTGTGATGTTCAGTAATATAAATTAAGGCGTGATCAATTTCCGCCACAGTCAATCATTCCATATCTTTCTAACCAAATTTGTGATCAACTCCGAGCAGTTGAGTACAAAATAAAAACAATGATTTTTGACTATCACTGCAATTGCTACAGCGAAATGTTCAAGTATGCACTTGCAATGTACAAGGCCAATAGGTCAGGTTGTGGTAAATGCACGAACGCTTCAGTCTTTTGAGTGACGCATTGAATGAATTAAAGCACTGACATAAACTAAGATAGGTCATGTCTGACTCAATACAGGCTGCTGATTTACACATTGCACGCCAGTTAAGGGGTTCCTCGCTGAAATGGTGAAATTGCGACAATTCAGTGTTAATCTCGATAAATTAGGACGAATGGCTGCCCACGAAGCAATCAACATCAATTCTTTAACAACATTCAGTGAAAATCAAATCTTCGGTTCACGAGGGGGGGGGGTATATCATTATTCTATGAATAAATTGTATTATTATCTACTGCAATCAGCATTTCCTGCTGAAATATGTGAAAGATAAAACTTGTAAATGTGATTTAGCGAAGATTGTTATCTGTGTTTTCACGTGTTGTATACGCCTAGATGCAGACGATCATTTGGATGCAGTTAGTTGGCGGTCATGGCTGCCAGCGTACACACTGCCATAATCATAGTAGCATTTGTTTTCTCAAGATACTTCATTTGCCGTCTAGTACACAGTGAAATTCCCCACTTCACATTTTAAGGGTACCTTTCTTTACAGCTCTGTTCATTTCTAAAATTTGGCGGGAATTTTGTTATGACCTTATTGCCGGGAAATGTGTAACCTACTTGGCGGGATATTTCCCATGAATCATAGATTCAATTAAGAAATTGCATGACCCACGTGACCTATCATTACATGTTTAATACCACAAATAATATTAGATCATTATAAGACTAACAAACGATCTATCACTATGGTTGTATTTCCCATGGTATCTTCCATATATGACCACGTAACACACCAAAAATCCTAGCGATATGATCATATAATTCAAACTTGCTATTTCATTCACACTCATCTCACTCATGATCACGAAAATGTTAGATACATGACGTTGTTTGAACAATTATCAAGAAGGTAAATGATATTTAGTCCAGATTTGAGCCCAAAATCTAAATTATTTGTTTTAATTTAATCACCTTAGACACGTGTATTGCCAGGCACCGAAATAATGTACACTCTATGTATATTACCTTATATAACAAAAATATTATTATACGATTTACGGTTGTAGTATATTTGTTTGAGCAGAGGTTAAAAAATGTCGATACCGGAGTTGATCACATAGCATTAAATTCTCTGGGCAACTGTCTGTGTACATTGATGATAAAACAAACACGTCTTTGTTGAAATCCATTAACGTCATATCGAATCCATGGTTCACCTGCGCACAGTGACAAACCCAATTATACACTGCAATTTCGATTTATCTCGGTGTACGTTTGAGCAGAAAAAACATCACAAAAAGAGCTACTATATATCAAATAATCACTTAGTTCTTAAAATTACCTTTCCAGTGTTCAGTAAGACAACATTCATCGCAACGTGAATGTTATTTATAAAATGACATATCTCAACAATGTTTAAACTACGGGAATGTTATAAACAACATAACACACGACTACGTTCAATCTACGTATTAACATAGTACATGACAACGTATATTAAAATGTAATGCTACGTATAACACAGCAGAGAACAACATTTATAAAAATGTAATGCTACATATAACAAAGCACAGGTCAACATTATTAAAATGTAATGTTACGTATAACATAGCACTGGACAACATTTAATAAAATGGAATGTAACATATACCATAGCACATAAAACATAGTTTAGAATATAATGTTGGTACATGACAACATGTTTTATTACAAAGGAAGGACGTGTATAAACTAGCACATACAACCATCCATTAAATACAAATGTTACAGAACAACATTCAATGGTCAGTAATGTCACGCGTTGCATAGCACATTACACATGACTTTTTATGTACAACATAGTACATAGTAACATTCTTTACATTATCTTAACATAAACTGAATTCAAACATGGTTGTACTTTTATACGTGTGATATCAACCTTGGTAATTGCCATAACATGTGGCAACCTCGACAGTAATTGAAACAAACGACTCCAGACTACACATGTGTAACTTCAAAATTCACTCCACATTTCACCACACTGTTTTTTGTAGCTGTGATTTTTTTTTCCATTTTTTATTTAGTTTTGATGTTATATACATATTTATATAATATGTATTCAATTATGTGATGTATTTGAACTTGGCATCTTTGTGTGCGATACATGGATATATTCAACCCAACCAACAAACAGTTTAAATGCGAAGTGCAAATATGTTAACATGTTATTCCATGGTCATATTTAATAGCTGTCATCGGTCACTGTACAATTTCACATAGTTAAAAGAATCATCACGATTTTAAGCAGTTATAACTCACCTCCTGTGTCATTTCAGCGATCGTCATGGTTACCGGTCAATGTTTCCTCTGTAAAAAAAAGAAACGAAAACTTGCTCCTTAGAATCAGTGTAAAACAGGGAAGTGGTTTCCTGCGACGACTGTACACCGGGCGAGTGTAGCATCTCGCTTGATTGCACATGCGCTGTAGGTCAAACAGCAAAACAACATCATTAAGATTTTCCACGAGGGACTCGATAGTCAAATATTATTCTAACGTAAACTTCAGCACCCTACGGACCTTCATTTTTATCAGATTCTAATTTCGGAAACGTACAGCCGCTTGTCAATTCAATTGCTAGCGGGAATTCCACTCGTGTTCACAGGTTTAAATTGACTTTCTTTTCCATGAGCTGATACTTTCTCGTGCAATAATACTTTCGCTCCAAAGCGCCAATTAATTTTCGAAAGTTCAATTCACTTCTTGCGGTCTTACACGTTCTTCCGCGGTATGTGGAGCGACGAAAATTAGATTAACATTCAGTAAGAAGTCTCCATGTCGTAGACAAATATATGCCCATCATTTCAGACACCCTCTCCCCTCCACAATATAATGGCCAATCCTTGGCACTATTGCGGGAACATACAGGTTAGGCGGTTGACACCTATAAATTACCAATGAAAACGAAAAATACAGCTGTCAAATACGAAGAAAAAAGGTGGTGAAAGGTAATTGAGCATATAACCTCACTCAAATGGTGACACAGATGTAAAATATGAGCGGTATTCAGACTCAAATAAAACAAGACGAGGGCAACGTCAGAAATACGACATCGGTGCGGCGTCCATGGAAACAATAATCCATCATAATTTAATTGCACAAAACATTATCATCAATATTTTATTAACTTGTTCATTTGTCAGAATTGCGTGTAGTTAACATTGTGAACATTGCATTATATTCAATTCAAACAACATCCGATTTGGTAATCAAAATACCATATTGTTAACTCTCAATAGACCATTTTCCATTCGCTGGGAGATCCCGCGTTATGCGTGAAATCGAACGTAAAAACAGGACAAACGAAAGTCATAGCGTCGTAGTGACGTCCAAACTTTGCGTGAGGTTTGGCAAACGCGAAAATATTTAAGTATTTTCATCCCTAATAATGTGCTATATACATTTGATGAAGTCAGTGTATGCCAACGTCATACTTCCATCTGTAAGATTGGCATTACGACATGGAGCTGTAAAAAAGAAATTCAGGCTCAAAATCAAATCATTCAAATTTTGCGGCAGACGTCCGCTCCTTGCAAGCATTACGCGAGCTCTCGCAGTGAACAGAAAATCACCTAATATAGTTTCTGTTTCGTTTGAACGAGTAAACACAGTAGATATAGATTGATGCAGACATCAAGACCCCAGTCTTAATCATCACAAATATATCAATTTTAGAGGAACTCCGCAGACTATACCAGTTACATAACATATAACCTGGACTCGATCAATTTTTTATATAAATTATCACGACATACAGTCAGTTTAATTCAGCATTATGTTACTTCGATTCAGTACATATTAAACTCTATCTAGTGGACACAGGCGGTGATTTAATCCAATATTACGCTGCATCTCGTGAACACTGACTGTGATTTAATCCAATATTACGCTGCATCTAGTGGACACTAACTGTGATTTAATCCAATATTACGCTGCATCTAGTGGACACTAACTGTGATTTAATCCAATATTACACTGAATCTTGTGGACACTGACTGTGATTTAATCCAATATTACACTGAATCTTGTGGACACTGACTGTGATTTAATCCAATATTACGCTGCATCTAGTGGACACTAACTGTGATTTAATCCAATATTACGCTGCATCTAGTGGACACTAACTGTGATTTAATCCAATATTACACTGAATCTTGTGGACACTGACTGTGATTTAATCCAATATTACGCTGCATCTAGTGGACACTAACTGTGATTTAATCCAATATTACGCTGCATCTAGTGGACACTAACTGTGATTTAATCCAATATTACACTGAATCTT